GCCCCGCCAGCCCGGAGCAGCGAGGCCCTTCCCGCCCCCTCGGCACCCGGAGCCCCCCTCCCCAGGCCCGCGGGCTCCCCTCTCCCCCACCTCGCAGCTCCCGTGCCCGAGGCCTTGCTGGGCCGTGGGGCGTTGGCGGTGCCCCACGGCCGTAGGGTTTGGGCAGACCCCGGCCCCTGCCGACACGCGTGGCCCAGGGCTGTGGGTCGACGTTCACGCACCACCGCCGCAGAGGGCTTAGTGGCATTGTGGCACGGGGTGAGCCACAGGCCAGCGGCTGGGCAGAAAACCGGCTTCACGGGGCTGGAGCTGACGCGTGGCAGCCGGGCTGTGGCGGGTCCCCCTGTGCCGCCTGGCGTGGGCGGCTGCGGTGCCGGGGCCTCCACCGGCGCAAGGTTGGGCCAGGCTCTTCTGCCGGAGCTGGCACAGCTGAGCGATGGCCTCCACGCTCCCATGCTGCCAAGTGTCCAAAGACACTGACTGTTGCCATACCCTGCCAAGCGGAGAGCTGTGCTCCCTCCCTGCCGCCTCCCCTCTCAGCCGGCTGGAGCTCCATCCAGGAGGTTTCTGTCAGACATGTCTCTCAGGTCCAGCTCACACAATGCTGTGAGGAAAGGACTTCAGTCCTTTGTTAGAGAAGGGATCCTAGCAGCCACCCTACCCAGCTCCGCGCCCTGTGCTTAGGCCCCCTGAGCACGTTGTATGAGATTTTCAGTTGACTTCTGAGTTGTCTCCCCACATGTGGACATGTTGTGAAGAGAAATAGCTTCTTCATTTCAATGCAACAGATTAAGCTAAAGGTCTGTGTATTGTTTACACTGCAAGAGGACATTATTTTTATTGTTATTATTTATTTACTGACATTAGTAATACAAAGGTTTCTGAGTTTACTGCAGGCTGGCGTATGAAGTGTGATGAGCTGGGTCACAGGCTGGAGGAATTATCTTCCAGTACTTTGGGGGTGATGCTGTTTGTTCACATGTTTGTCATTATCTGGTATCTGAATATTTCACAGTCTGCGTGGGATATGGAATTTTCAATATTTTTAAAGAATTTTAGAATTAAAGACTTTATTTTTCTTAGGTATAGTAAACATATCAAGTGTCCTATGTAGTACATATTTAAGTTTGCTGGAACAAGTACAAGGTAACATTCAGTGCACTGAGCTTTGTTCCTGCAATTTTTTTAATCATTAGTGGATTTTAGGAACAGGAAAATGTAGAGTATTTATTAGGACCAAGGCATGAATGACTTCCAAGATAAGATCACTGAGATTCAGCTATCTTTGTAGCATTCTGTGCAATCTGACAGGAAAAAACAGGATTGTAAATTTCTAAATAAAACCATGTTTGTGCAAGCTTCTGACCCTTCTAAGAATGTTAAGAATTTCCGCTAAGCTCTGTATTACCACAGATGATGTTCCCCATGACAGGTGGACATACTTCTGATTTTAATACAGCTTTACAGTATAATCGTCTCCTGCAATGGCAGACATGTAATGCACATGCTATAAGCAAGGATCCAGCAGTTGTGTGGTTCCATAAAAACCTTTCTGACAAGCAGTGGCAATATCAAGTTCCAGTATAATATGATTTTTTAAATTATAAAAGTGAAGCTTATTGGAGAGAACATTAATTTACCTGTTTTGATGTCAAACAGTTCTAGTATAAAGTAAGAAGACATTTCTTAGAAAAAAATGTAATCTGGACACAAAACTCCTGTGTACTTCATCCCAGTAACTCACCCCTGAATCCCAAGATGTAAGCATCAGTAAAAAAAAAAATAATAATAATAAAAAAAATCATACAGAATGCCTTAGAGCTCCATAAATCTTCCATCCCCTTCTAATGGTTTTACCACAGGAGGGCCCAATCTAATCCATAAAATCTGGGTTTTCACTGGTTCTGTTAGTAAAGTACATAAAACTATTTCCGTCAAGGGCAAACAATGACACTTACTATGATGTAAAAAATACTTTGATGTAAAATGTCTAGTTATTATTCAAGAACACTCTATATAGGAAAAGATAGTATGAGGAAGTTAAAGTTTGAAAACAATCTTTTATGAAGAGACAAACAATATTCTAAGGGCTCAAATAAAACAGAAAGAAAATGACAAAAACTTTTTTAAGAGCTGGTTTTAAATGGCATCTTAAACATCTGCACCAAAACGCTTCTTTCTGCAAGATTGCTGTAAAGCAAAGGTATCTTTCAAAGTAAAAAACTTACTGGCAAAGGACAGCCTTCTGCTGTGTGAGATCTTCTCAAGTGTGAAAACTCCTTGGCTTCATCTTGAATTAAAAGTGAAACATCAGGAGCATTGATAAAAAAACAGAAGTGGTGGTTTCTGGTTATGGATTGTTTTCCTCCTTCATCTGCTAATTCCAGTTCTGCATTTTAGTGAATTTATTCTCCCTGCAGTTCTTCACTGTTCTTGCCTTGGAATAAAATCTTTTATATCAGAAATGAGTCATATGGCCTGCCATCTGCTTCCTCAACCTTGAAGTACACCAAAGTATATAGTATACTTAGACTGAAGCTGTGACCTCAGTGTAAACTGAAATGTTAGTTGTATCCATTCAGGCTTGTTCTGTGATTATGTGTATATTGCAAATCTCTTTGTCCTCCCTTGAAGCTATGCAGCAGTTACTGCTGGGGAAATGTTCGTCTATCACTCTCTGTTCCTGATTCTTGTGCTGAACCAGGCAGAAGTGGGATGATGTACATAGTGCCCTTTTGATGTTTTCTCTGTGAGTGGAACAGATTCCATTTGTGTTTCAACAAATGAAGAGAACGTTATGTTCTATATTTCAGTTATTCAGCTGAGTTTTTATAGGACAGGATATGATGATTTATTACCCTAAGTACTATTATCTACTTGATATATGTTAATATTAAGGTAGGTGAAATAGTAAAGACCCTCTTTTACACCTTCAGTTGCTTGTGACAGCATGGCTGGGTCTTTCCATTGATGTCTGCTCTGATGTTTGCAGTTATGTTCTACAAACTCTTTTTCTGGCCCCTGTTTTTCACGCAGCAGATTACTTATGTATTCCCAAAGCTCATTTGGGCTGCAGTCACTCCTTTCAGACTTCATACAGAAAAAGTCTTTTTCAGTCTGCAGCCCCTTTGTTTTTCCCTTGTTAGCTGAATATCATCAGGAAAGAATATATTGCTGCTGTTAACATGATGGAGGAGTGCAGTAAGCATTCCCAGTCAGTGCATTTTCCGTTATTACTAAAAGCTGAATTAGAGTCCAGTGGAGTCCAGCAAAGCTGAGTGACTCATAGAGCTCATATTCTATCTTTGCTGTTTTCCACTTGAAACAATTGTCAGAAGTTTCTGGTTTCATGAGATATTTTGCAAATGATACACTTTTTATTGGTTTGCTTACGGATGTTTTTCTCTGAATTGTAATAGCAGGCAATTCTTGGGCTATTGATTAGTAATTGCATTGTTATCTACACCTTAAATTTCAGTGATAATGGCTGTAATTCTACAGATTGTTTATTTGGGCTTAGTCCTAGCTAGGGCAAATTGTCCTGATGATAACTTCCTTAATCAATAATTTAATGAACTTTTATTTTGCATTTTAATTCTCTGAGCAAGCCTGCAAATGTTTAGCCTTTTTTATGAGATGCAAATGTCTCTGTTATTTTAAAGTGGTTAAAACAACAAGGGGGGTGCATGCTAGAATTTTGCAAGGGTTGCCATTTTATTTCATAGGAGGCATTACTTGAGCATTTTTATTTGCTTATTATTTATTACAGTGTTTACTTCAGTTGTATTCTTTGCTCTACTGTGAATGCACATTTGATCTTTGCTATTGGTGAGTCTGACAGTTCCTGATACTCAGTCTCCTTACTATACCTCAGTGTACAAATAGTTCTACCTGCAGTGATTCTCCAAGCTGATAAAGGATAACTGAAAACTGCTACAGTTGGAGATTATGACCCATCTCTTTGTAAAGGAGATTTGTAAAAATCTCACCTTTTGAGGATTAGCACAGAAATGGCCTTGCATGCTACTGAACAGCAGTTTATACCATATTTATGTACATAAAGAAAAGTTACCTTTCCTGGCAATTATTCTGCTCCTTAGGATTGCCGGGTGAATCACAAGCCTTTCATAGGTCTTCCAACTTGCAGTATGGTCTTGCTGCACTAATGCTGCATCCACAGGTACCTTATTGCATATTCATGGTGACAGATATTTATTTTTAGCTGTGAAAAATCTTTTTCCACCTTTAGAGGAAAGTTTTCTAAATTGTTACACATTATAGTGCTATAGGGCAGCAAAATTTTTCCTTTTTACCTGAGAGTTTTTAAAATTTGGATACTCTGCAGTATCTGTTGGTCATCAAATCAGTTTCCTTTTCTCCTTCTTCCCCTGGCTACAAAACTAAACTTGTTAAAACACTTGCTGATTTTCATCAGGATAAAATACCACCAGATGTACAGCTAATGTCCTTTCCTTGGAATTTTAGTAATTAATTCCATGATAAATTTGTCAATTCATAACGTCCTGCTTGAGTGATACACTCTGGGGAAAAAGCAAAAGAATTAGAGCGCATGCCTTGCAAGAGAAAATAAAAGAAATTATTATGTTGCTGGGTCAAAAGAAAGAGAAAATTAAAAAAAGAACATGGCAGTTTACACATTTGATATGTAAAAGGTTATTACAGAAATCAGTTCTCCACACTTACTGGCAAAACGACAAAATGAAATCAGGTTAATGTACAGCAAAAATAATTAGGCTGGATCCTAACAATCCAGATCAGTAGGAATTGTTAAGCAATATAACAAGTTACTGAAGGATGTTATGGTGTCTCCCTCACCATTGTTTTTTAGGATCAGATGATACCATATCTGTGAGGGATGATCTTTGCATACTTGTTCTTACCTCTGTCCATGACCTTTTAGTTAAGTATTCCATTTTGATATTGTATCATTTCTCTCCCACCTTTCTCAGGAGAGCAGTACCCCTTCACTTCTGCCAAGTCAATTGTTTAAGTCAGAATTATGAAATAAACCAATCATGTGTTTCTACAGTTCTTCACACCAAAGGTGACAGTTTCTGGGCTGGGTTTTGTCAACAGTTTGTTTTGTTTTTTTTTTTTTTCTGAGCATGTGATTACATCTGCAAATACAGTCCGGATGGATACAGAGCAGTGGTAATCTAAACAATTAAAATCCATGGGATAGGTTGGTGTGTAAAGTGATTCCTGGTTTTGGAGGATCATCATATTGAAGTGACAAGATATAGAATAACAGTTTTGGGACTGCTGACTTGCCCAGCTGTAGGTGTGGGATTTTTTCCTATTTCTGTGCTGTACCTAAAATAGAGATAATACATAACTACTTTGTAGAGTATCTGAGTTTTTCAGATGTTGCAATACTGAAATCTGAATTTAACTATAAATTACTTTGGTCTCATTTTGTCAAGTAATAGTTGCA